ACACTCTGCAAAATCTGTGATACCAAGACAATCTAGCATGGCAAAAATTCCTGATTGCAGATAGGACCGGTTCTGACATCCTTCCAAGCGGACCAGATCACTCGAGATGGGGAAACTGGGACAAAATACCTTGTGAACTAGGGGTACAAATTTTTAAAACTACCAGAGTTTCTCATAATGTGAAGAAGGGCAATAACCTCCGCAGATGATTGAAATTCCATAATCAAGTGTACCAAGTGCCTATGTTTCTTGTGACTGATTCCTTAATATCCCACAATCCGAGTGGATACTATCTAGAGAGCCAATGCACTAACAGGTTAGTGAGGCACAAAGTGCCAATCTGGCTGATGTGCTTCTTGAGACTCGATGGGCAGAATCACAACCTTAACGGCTTGGTGTCACATACAAAACAGTTTGATGTGAACACCGTTTCCAGAAGAGTCACTTACTGTGCGACACCAAATACACATCTATGGTTGTAAAGGTTTACCTTTGCATGAACGAATTCGGTGGACGTCTGCTTCGAGTGCGCGTAGACATCTGGGAAGTGAAGTATGGCCAAGGATGTTGGGGCCTTAAGTCTTACTGGCTACAAAAACGGCTTACCTTCTAATCCGCAGCCACACTCACACAATGATCAGCAGATTGCAGTACACTGTGGATCAGCATCTCATTTCCACCACTGATCTTCACTTGTCACCTGAATCTTTTGTGTAATGCCCACCACACTACTGCTTATCTGTCTTATGTTTCAATGGCGCCCTAAGAACTTCTGCATCGCCTTATAGCACAGTAGTTTACACACTTTGATATCAAGACTAAACAGAATGCATAAGATTTGTAGGAGATGATCATAAAATGATATAAACACATTCTCCACTGCAGTCAAATCAATACAACTACCACTTCAGGTAAAACATGCTATAAATATCTATGCAGTATAAATAGATAAATGACAACCAATTAACAATCTATTTGCATTTTTCTGAGTTCTTTTTTTAAGCACAGCATTTGCAAACATCAGTCAATGAAAGGCTATTCTGTTTATATTTAGTGCTACTAAATGTGGAAAGCCCTATATTACAGATTTGATTAGGGCTGTTAATAAAAGCATTGAGTGAGTTCATTTCCCTGAAGCCTTATAATTACACTAATGAGAGGCAATGATGAAGCATTAAGCAGGGCTCAATGTATTTAGTCTCACTGACTATGTTTATTTAACCTGCATTTAAGAAGTTCCTTTGACATTTTAATGATTTTACTAAATAATCCCATTGATCAGATCAGTGAATAAACCTGGTTTCAATGTTTTGACTGTATGGTAATTTTGTGTTTTAATCAAAAGAACCCAGTTCTTTTGGTTACACAGAAGTTATCCTTCAAACTACTGACTTTGAAAGAGCCTCAAAGGATCTGAAGATCTCTAAGGCCACACAAGTGAACATTTTTGACACACAGTTGAAATTATAAGACGTAAACTAATTGGTCTGATAGGATTGGCACTCATCCATTCGATGAGTGCCAAAACAAACTGTATATACTTATTCATTTGAAGTAAGAAGCACTGCCTTCCACAAGCTTCACAGAATAGTGGAGAGCAGTGGAGTTTGCAGGTATTTTGGTTCATTCCTACAGACTTGTGTAACTGATTCACATTTCTACATCACCTTCCTCGCATAAACCTTTTTAACTCTGCTCGCAAAATTTCTATGCGACTGATATGTGAGTTTCTGTAGGCCAAAACATTAACTCTGTTCTTACGCCAATTTGTCAGTGAGGTTAGAGTCATTGTTCCATTTGAAGACCCATTTGTCACCAAGCCTTTAATTCCAATGGACTTGAGATGTTGATACCATATTTTCACATAATGTTCTTTTCTCATGACGCCATCTATAAGTGCATCAGTCCCTCCTGCTGCAAAAATACCTACAAATAATGCTGCCACCTCAAAACCTTTTCTGCTACAGTTGCAGCGGTGTTCTCTTCCCCCTGTTTCTACTGCATTAAAAAACGTCCATTATCATCAATATGTCAGCAGACCACAGCAGGCGGTCTGTTGAAATGTATCTAGGTCATTTGCAAAGTATAATCTGTCATTTTATGCTGCTTTTGAAAAAACTGCTTCTTCTTCGATAAGTGGCCTTTTAGCACCTCTTTCCACAAAAAACAGCAGCATTCTGGCTTGTGTGTTTTTCACAGTTGGATTTATACAAACATACATGAACACTGACCAAGGAAAGAGAGGGCTTAAGTTGTTTGGACATTAGGGTTAGACATGTGAAGAAACATAGCAGTTCTGGTGGTTTTTTGGAGCTCTGCTTGATTTTTTTTAAGGAAAGAATGATGGAAAGAAGGAAGGAATGAAGGACATGGCTCGCACTTTGACCAAAGTCCTTTGGGAGATAGCAGTTTACCGGATCATTCAATTAGTCATCAAAGCATGACAGTACACACTGACTAAAAATAAATAAACTAGTTTATCACACTTAAACAAGAAATGTATTCTTGAAAAAAAGAAAACATTTTCAGAGGAAAGAAAAGGAAACAAAACCACATCCGAAATGAAAAAGTCTATTGAAATTGAAAGAGCGGAGAGGAATGTGTCAGTAGTAGTAAAAGGATGTGATATTGGATGTCAATTACCTCAGCGAGAAATGAATGAACGCAGTACTGACTCACACTGGGAAATGCAGGCCCTCAAGGGATAAAACATAACGGCTGCTGTAAAAGCAGCAACTGTTGCAGCTCAGATTGGATTGCTCGTGTCCTTCTTGTAAAACTCTGTACATGTGGCGTTTGGTTAGGCAAGTGGAGGCACAATTGGCACATCTTCTGTCTGTGTCATTAAGTATCAGTGTACTGCTCCCTCAGAAAAGATTTCTTCTCCTGTGCTCAAAACACAAAGTACATTTCTACAAAACAATGGTAATTAAATACAACTATTTAACATAAAATAACCGACATCATGAATATTCATCCCCTTTAAGATGACTGACTTAATTCAACCAAGATTCAGGCAAATGGTGCTACTTGTCTCCCAAATGAGTCACCTGAGTGCTGAGTGTGTCTGTAGTGAGTGTAGAATAGAGATGTTAGTTTGTTTCAAAGCGTTAAAAGCATAACTGATATTTAACTTCTAATAATTATCAGTTATTGGCCACAACAGCATAATTAATATTGGATCCTGTTATTGCTCTAAATTTTTATATCCCTAAATTTGTAACCATGCTCCATAAACGTTTTGTGAAAAGGCTGTTAATGTTTTTTAAATGACCAGACATGCTTTCTACATTACCAGGCACTGAGATGACAATAATTTGCATTACTGTACATTATACTCCATTATACAGTAGCAAGGGGGGCATTTTAGGGTAATCAGTTTTTAGCAATGTGGTCTGAAAAAATAATTGGTAAATTTTGTTTTCAGCGAGGTCCTGGCAATATTTCCCTTACAGATTAATTGTGTCTTAAAAAAAACTACAAAAGCTAAAAGTCATCTCAGATAACTGGATGGAAAAGCTATTCTTCTCTTCGCTCACGCTTTTTGTCCTTGAATATGTGAATGAATTGTTACATTTATCTATATTTAGTTTCACTGTGGGCAGGATTATTCTCTTGAGAAGCACAAATAAAACTGCAATGGTAATATATGAAAAGCCTGTTGTTTCTCAACAGTATGCTGTCAAACATCTTGCAGGGGAATACTGTGTACGCCAGTTTTCTGCATCAATAGTCAAATAGTGGAGAACTTGCAAATGATAAAGGTATTTATTGTGCTATTGTGATTGTCAGACAAACTAAACTCTTTAAATCCTGAAAAAAGATGTGAAGCATTTCTGTGAGCAGGCTTCCCATTAAGATCTACGGCTCTTTGACTGCTCAATGACATATTATTGCCTTAGAAATACTTCTATAATGCTTTTAACTGTCTTATTAACAGACATGTCACTCTTCACAAATCTCTAATATAGGATAGAAATAATCCCTAGTTTACTGCTGAGCTGTCCAGTCTTTGAAAAGATCAAGATAACACTTGGTGTAAGGCCAGGCACTCTAACTCACAGAGTGACTGGCTGGTATTCAAACATCTTACAAAATGCGTTAATTCCCTTGTTAAAAAGAATAAATTCCAGCTTTATGTTGAGAAAACTACATTGAAACTTAAATGACCCCAATAAATTGTAGAGATTGATTAAATCCTTATTTGGAGTTGAAATGAGCTATGAAATACCTACTTATATTACGAAGGATGCACAAAACATCCATTGACCATAATTGCACAGTTTGACATTTAGAAAATAAATTTGCTAAATGGAATGGCAATTAAAGAAAAAAAAAAAGAAAAAGAAAAACAACAGCTCGCTTTTAGATCAAATGTTTTAACGTTAGGACGAGGTGTTTGTTTTTGGCCATAATGAAATGTTTTTTTTTTAGCATCAAACAAATCATGTGACCAACAACAGGATGTTGCCACTGGCACGAACCACGAAGAAAACGATGGCAGGAAATGGTTGGAGGATCGCGGCGTGGTACATTTTTTCTGACTCAACACGTGAACAAACTTATTCACGTGATTTTAATTGTGTTTCTTATTTAATGGGAACACTGCAATTGTGAAATTGTGTTTTTTATTTTTGCATTAGCGGAATACTGAAAAGGTTTTGTGCACATTTGTAATAGAATGCACTTACTGACAAAGCAGCCATTCTTAACTGTTTGAATGAACATTTCCTCAGGAACCTTGTTTGAGTCTTTGGGGCTACAATGTAACTTACATCCATCAGTGTGTGAATGTGTGCATGAAAGAGTAAAAGGCTGAATTTTTATATTGTGAAGCATTTAGACCATAATGGATGTATTGTTGAAATTTGGTTGCCACAGCGACCAAATAACATTTTGTGATTATTTTTGTATCTTGTTGAATTTTGATAGCAGTTAATCTCGTGACACTGTAATCGTCAGTGGAAAATCCTGATCTTTTTACTTCTTCTTCATTTTACCTGTGGCTCCGGAAAACGTTGAGCAGAATGATGACGAGTCCCAGACCGCAACAGGCCACGTAGGGGCCACCAAAGAGCCTGGAGAGGCACCGAGTACGATGCTCCCATCGTGCCACCTGCAAAGAAAGAAGATCAGCAGACAGCAGTTACCTTCAGTTCAGAAATCCTCCACATTCGTTTGCCTCCTTTAGAGACATAAAAACAGGTCCCTAATTAAAACAAATGGTAAAAAAAAAAAAAAAAAAAATGATGCAAAAAGGTTTTAGGCACCAATATGAAACATTGGTTCCCTAAACGAGTGCAAACTTTTCTCATTAAAATCTTCTTTTTGATAGACATTTCATTTTGACATTTTCCATTTTTTATACTAAAAGATGTAGTGCACAAAGTAATTTTTTTTCCAAAGTTTACTTTACCACTGATAATGCCAGTAATGTCCTCTACTAAGCTTTTGTAGTCTATATAATTCCGATGTTTTTAAATTCATAGATCACAATGTCACAGTGTCTGCTCTGGACTACATTCTGATTCAAAGACCTTGACACATTTAAGGCTATTGTATGTGTGTGTATGCACTTGACTTTTATTTTACTAGTGTGCAAAAAGGAGATGCCACAGGTACGTAAATTTTAAAAGAAATAATTTATGACTATTAAGTCTGACTATTTTATTGCATTTCTTTCCAATTTTTCTGTGGAGGCTGCAGAAACAAAGGGTTAAGGAAAGAAACCTCAACATTTCTCTCAAGAAAAACATTCCAGCACTTTTCCATTCTGAGAATCCACTGAAAAAGTGGCAGCCTATACAGTAAAAAATAAAAAGCTTTGCTGCAATGGTAAGGTTTTTTTTTTTTGTTTCTTTTGGTTTTTTTGGCATTGGCACATTAAGCAGCATGTACACAAAGATGATTGACAGCGCTAAGACCTTTTTCCTGGCTCTGATTGTTGTTTTTGTTGCTGGAAGCAATGTGGAATGCAATAGCAGTAGGAGTGGAAGGAAGTGGAGGAGTTTGATTTTTTCACCTTATCTGTCTCATATTGACGACTTTGATGTCACTATGAGACGGTAACAGTGACAGTTTTAACATGTACAAACTTTTTATTTTTTAATAAAAGTGACGTATTGCAGCCTTAACATGTATTCATGGGTGGTCATGGATTGGCTGCCTGGTAAACACTAGCCAAAAGCGCGCCAAGTAGCATTCCTACATTTTCTTTTGTATGTTTTAGATAAGCGAAAAGTCGAATTTTCCACCGATTATTTGGAGTTATGTCTCAGAAAAATCCACGAATAAGCAAAGTCCAGTCTACTGACCGTTTAGTTCTTGCGAGTTGTTTAATCCACTCAGAAAAGCTTTGTGTGTGCATGCAACTAGCTGCAGTAAGGAACTATAATTAGAAAATTTCATATATGTTGGATTATAATTACTAAGAACTAAGTTGTATTTAGCTAATATATCACAGGGTGTTGCATGTAATGTAGGCTTATGTAAATTTTTCAATCAGTGATGCAAATGTTTAATAGCTCCTTTTATAAACCTATGAAAAATTATTTGTCTAAGATTTAGTTTCTTACTTATTATTGGTCATTAATTCCACTGTTTCTAAATTGACAAAAGAAGTTTACTTTCTGCACAGACTATAATTCGATAGGTTGACCTACCAAGACAGGATTTAGGGCAGCAGCTGTGCTGTCATCAACATTCTTGTTTATGAATATTGCTGGTTCCTTCATCTCAGTCCGTCACAACACACTAATTTACAGAAAGCAAATTCTATCAGCTCTGCAGGATAAAATGTATTTACTTGACCAGTTATAGTTAAGAGTTCTTAAAGAAATGAAAAAAAGTCGAATTATTTTCAAACTGTGGGCTGAGGAAGTACGTAGATGCGAATCAGACAGAGCAGACAGAATAAAACTTTTTCTATGGTAACATCTTTTCTATGTTTAGAGCTAGCCAAGCTGGGAAACAACATGAAAACAGGTAAAAGCTAGAGGAGACGACTTTTACACAATAAGTCATTAATTTACAATCATCAGACAACAAGTGACGGAACGAAGCCTCCAGTTTCCTTTATGTTCTCTTTTAATCCTGGCCGCCAGCCGACTCCAGCTCATTGTTCTCTAACCTCTTCCTTTCAGCAGAGAGTGGATGTATAATTAGGCCTCAAAGCTTGAGAAGGCCCGCTTGGTCCGGATTCATGCTTCACATCCGCATGCTGATTACATCAGAGTCTGCTCTGTGGGGCACCGAGACACAGCAGCGCACCACAAAGCACAACAAAGGCGATTATAAAAGAGGGAAGAATTAATGAGAAGTCTTTCCAGATAGCACGTTTGGGGAAAGTCACATTTATGATGGCGTGTATTATAACGTCGCTGTGTGACATTTTAGGCCTGGAGGCATTATGTAACGGCATTCTTTTGTGTTGAGCGACAAAAGGTTTTGGCACCGAGACTCGAACATAGAAGAACTGATTAAGCATCCTGATGAAATGCCCACACACACATACACACACACACACACACACTGACAACTGACTCAAACATGTCAGAGAAACCCAAGTGTTGCTACATGCTAATAGCATGTATGTAGTTAGCTCCTTAAGGTTAACAAAGGTAAGGTCACAAGTGGGTGTTTACTGGACCAGAGTTTAATCATTTTTATGACAAGAAAAGTCATAAAGAAGACAAAATAGCCCCATGTTGACATTGGTGAACATGCAAGTAAACAGTGCTTCTAAAACCAATAAAGCAATTAATCCAGAGTTAAACATACATTACGCTTTTCCACTAGCACCTAGCAGCATGGACTGACTCAACTCTACACAGCTATTATTCATGATTAATACTGGAACATTAAATTACACATTCAAATAGGCTTATTTGAGGGCAACTGACATTAAGCTAAAAGAAACATCGAGTCCGTACTGCCATAACAGAGCCAGACCTCTTTTAGTACTTGTATTTTCCATTTCCTCTGCCTAAGAAACATCCAATACCAAAAATCTATTGACACCAACCTGCTGCTGGGCCAGAATAAATAACCTCTTTCGGGGAATGGGGGCAACTCAACGGTTAATACGTTAGCAGCATCAGAAATCGCCTGAATTTTTGCTTCAGGTCTGCTGATCTGATAGTCCCGCAGACCCGGTTTAATTGGGACCAAATTTGCAACATTTGTTACATTTTCAGCTGGTGTGGTTTGCTTTCACTCCGAACCATGTCAAACAAACCGAACCTTTTGAAAAATCTGTTTACCTGCACCAAGAATCACTGAAGGAAAACCTCTGAAGGAGACACTGAGCGTAACTTCCTTCTTCTAGAGTAGAATCAGCTGTGACAAGTTGCATGACTTCTCTCTCGAATCCCAAACCAATTAATAAATCTTTTCTTTGCTTCCATATTTTTGAGCAGCGCATCTTTAGAACCAATCAAACACTGGGAAGGCTTTAAGAGTCCATTTTCAATAACACCACTACTACAAACAATACTACTTTACAAACGCATAGTTCACCAAATAAATAGGCTGAAGGCTTATGCTTGCCTACCATGTTCATGAACTTTGCAGCCAACTGTTCTAAAATATATCTTATACCACAACGTCATTCACATAAAATCCCCTCCTCCCAAAAAAACACCTGCACATAAAAAAACATTATGCTTTGTTGCTCCAGAAAATTACATCAGTGAGATTTTTCACAGGAATGCTTCGTTTTTCTTCACAGTTTGAATTGATGCCAGCGTATTTGCAAAAACAAACCAAAACTGAATAATTATAGTCAAACTATCACATGTTGTGCATCATTATGGCTTGTTTTCTACATCTAAAAAAGATTTTAAAAAAAGAAAGATTGTTTTTCAAAATCAAATGAATCTCATGAGAGCCTTGTAAAATGAAGAGTAAATAAGAAGGGGGAAAATTACATAACCATTTCAAATGCCCTCAGCAACATGGGATATTGAAGATGGAAGGAAGATAAAAAAGAAAAGATGGAAGAAGAAGGAAAAGTGTAGACAGAGAAATACAAAACGCTTCAGTATAACTTCAATGTTACGTTACTGATTAGCACAGCAACAGGTTGCAACCACTTCAAAACATTTGCAACATGATTAGTTCTAAGTGGTGACATTCAAAATCACCAATTTGGGGAGTAATTTAAATCCAAACCCTGTAAGTTTTCCCACACATTTCTTTTAACCCATTCAATAATCAATAAATAAAAACGTTGCTGTCAAACAGAAATAGTCTTCATTCAAAGGCCTGCAAATATTGACTGACAGAGATCTTTCCCTCCCACAGCGTCACCATCCAAAGAAACTTTTTGAAGACATTTAAATAATAAGAGTTACAACCGCATTTACTTTCCCTTTTAAATAAATAAAGTGTCTATTTTTGAATAAAAGTGAATGTTGATTTCTCTGGATTTGTAGTGTGCAAAAAGACTGGACTTAAGATTTGAAGCAAATACAGCCACTTATAACCAGAATAACAGCCCAATCAGGACAGCAATGGCTCACATAAACAAACCAGGCGGATCTTACCAATATGCGGTTGTTGAACTTAAAACAAAAATTCAGGTTTATAAATGAGTCTTTCTTCTCTTCTCTGAACAAAAATGTTTGATCATTTTAAGATGGAAATAGCAGTGTGTGGAAGGATTCTTGGTTTCCCAGGGCAAAAACAACACAGTGTATAAAAACACATATTTTCTTCTGCTCATGTTTTTTTGTTTATTAGCAGGCATGCTATTTTTTTCGCATGTCAAAATAGCTGCATAAAAGCACCACTTGTCAGCTCTATTTATCCAGAGCACACACACAGGCTGACGTTTTGCATGGTTAAAGAATATAATCCTACTGAAGAAATTTCCATGTAAACAGAGCTCTCTTCAATGCTAAGAGGATAACGCTGACAGTGACACTCTTAAACCTCAATGAATTTAAAGATAAGAGCTGAGCAACATCTACAAAGTTCTTACATCAATCTAGCTGGATAATAACCTGTTTTAATCATTTAAATTCGCCTCCTTAAGTAAAATCAGCATTCATGAATGGGGCACTTTAAAAATTATGGAAGCCCAAACGGGACAAAACTGAATAAATAATTCCATTA